GGCGGGCGCCGGCATCTTCTTTGAGTTGTGCCAAGAGGGCGGGTACTTGGACAAGATGGTTGTGCCTGGCGAGGTGTCGAGTTCATTTGAAGAATTGTTTGCACACGTGGCTGCGACATCTAATGCAATCAAGCTTTTGCCATCGGCATGTGCGCCACACGACGAGTAGGATGGACGGCTCGAGCGACTCCGACGGCTTCGAATCCGACCACCGTGCATGATGAATGGTCGAGAAGGCTCGACGTGCAAGGAACGGAGGCACAAGAGGGCCATCATGACGCGTGTTATTGAGATGCCTTACTGTGAAGTCGTAGCCTTCTTGGCGACGTGGACGGGTCCGCTGGCACGTTCGGGGTAGAGCGGCATGGACAACTTGAAGCGCCGAATGTCCTTGATGTGGACGATCTTGGCACCATGGCCATTGGTTTGGGCCAAGTCGAGCGAGATGGAGGCGAGAGGACCGAGGATGTCCATGCCATCCTCGTGTTTGGTGTCGTTGCTGAGGTCGGCCACAACATGCTGGTGGCCGAGGAGATGAACGCTGCACTTGCTGCGCTGCGGAGTGGTTCTCGCTGCGGATCCAACTACCCAGTGCGCGCTTGCTGCTTGTCGTTTCCGTCTCGCTCGTCCTCATGCGGTACTACCTGAACGCGGGACTGATCTGGCTGCTTTACGATCTTGCCCATGTTGGAATGGATCGTGTCCATGTGGTCCCAACTCGAGACGGTCATGGTCGGGCCAGAGCGGCTGGCGGATTATGCCAACATCGAGCCGGAAGCACCCCGCGTGATTTCTGGCGCCGTTGCCAAGGACTGGCCCACGACCGGCGACGTCGAGTTTGACAGCATGAGCTCCGCTACAAGCCGAACGACCCGATGGTGCTCAAGGACGTGAGCGTCCACATCACGTCGGGTGAAAAGATCGGGATCGTCGGGCGCCGGCAAGTCGAGCTTGACCATGGCCCTCTTCCGCATCAACGAACTGGCACGCGGTACCATCAAGAT